TGTGACCCTAAATGAGCTCACGGAACCCAAAGGAAACAAATGCAGAAGTGTCGTTTCAAAAACGGACAAAAAGAACCTAAGGGCAAAATGGTCATTTTGTAAAAAGTGGATTCAAATGCTATCAAGCACACCCCTAGAAAGACAATAAAAAATTAATCATAATGGACTCAAGAATTTCATCATTCAGAGTCCGGACGAAGGAGAAAGATCAAAAACAAAAATGATGTCGTGGCGGCCCGACGAGGACAACCCACCACTGCTACAATTGAGAGTAAAAACGGGCATCTAAACGGACTTTTTTGGAAAAACTCAAAGAAGAAACTCCCCCTAAAATTAATTTTTCTACCCTGTTAGTGAAGGGAAACAAAAAAAATGCATTGTAAAATGTCCAGAATGCCCCCAAGAAAATCAGGTCAAGAGGAAAAAAACCAATCCGAGCTACTGCCCAAGTTTTGGAAATAGGCCTTCAGAAGGTTTTTAAATTGCCTAAATTGAAAATGCAATCTTAAAATACAACCACAAGACCTCCGGAAGTTTCGGATCGGTCGTGACAATTTTTAAAAAAAAGTCGATGAATAGTACCAACTACATTTGTACTAAAAATTAGCAAAACCAGGCAGCACGGATTTTCTGGAAAAAAATGGATTTTTGGGGGAAAAGATGATGTTTTCTGGAAAAACACAAAAAATAAACCCCCTTCAAAATCAAGTTTTCTATGTGACTCTCTAGGAAAAATGAAAAAAACTCATTTTGAAATACCCGAAATGCCCCTGTAACAGAATAGGGTCAAACAAAAAAACATGCAACTTTAGGTTTTTGTTTCATCAAGGAAGGTATTGTTTGCTAAAGTGAGCATGCAAGTGTATGTAATATGATAAAATAGATGTGCTACAATGGCATATGGCCTCATTACAGTACATTTACAACATTTGACATGTCAAACCTCCAAGTTAGAAAAATTACATTTCATAGACAAATCATGAACATGGTAACACTTGCATGTGAACAAGAATGCTTCTAAAAAAGCTCAACTCAGCAAATCACCCAACCAATTGCAATCTCCAATCTTGTATCCTGTACCTGAAATATGCCCCAGTATCGTAGGGGTGAGTAACATAAAGCTACTCGTAGGAAATGAGCATGCATCGACCTACGTTTTACAAGTTTTCATGATTTAATTATTATAGTTCATTCCACCTAACGTTTATGTCAATGTGAAACTCAGGGAGCATCCTAAGCTACCTAAGATCATTTTTAGCATAAATCACATCATTCATGCAATTCAAACAACATAGGAGCATGCTATTCAAAGTAACAAAATATAGATTCTCAAGTCATCAATTTGAAATCTAAAATACGAAACGACAAAATTGATCATATCACCTAACGTCTATGTTCCAAATGAATCTATAGGATCATTCCTAAATTACATTTGAACAATATAGCATGGATGTACTTATCAACATCAAAAGCTTATAATGATTCATTAAAAATCATAAAACAAAAGTGTACTTAACAACATTTAAAAGTTCTCAATGATTTATTGAAAATCATAAACATGAATGTACTTAACAACATTAAAATGATTCATTAAAATCATGAACGTAGATGTACTTAACAACATCAAAATCGCCAATAACCAAAACCACAAGTCACAATATAAATATGATTGTTAACCTGGAATTGCACGCAAAAACAAATAGTGGAAGACTTGGACATCACGTCTCTGACTAAACCAAGAACAAATTGGTTATTCCGGGCATTAACCCGCTGGGAAGACCACCGTAGTGCGCACTATCTCAATTGGGGAGAACTCATACCTCCCGCACTAAAGCCGAACTTTAGCCATATCACAGTAACAATGTCCCAAGACTACAAAATAATCAAATAAGTTCACAACTTATACATAATTTATATGATGCACTAAGTCACCTTCCATGCACAAGTAGGTTGTAACCACACAACACATGCTCTAAATCCACAACTACTATAGGATGACAATGTCGAATCTTCAGAGCGCGATTCGTTACGCACTATAATAACATCACATGTCGAATCTTTAGTGTGCGATTCGTTACACGCTATAACAATATAATTCAATATTGGAACATAAACTCATAATTCCATTATAAGCCTAAAATCATGCCTTAAACATATTATCAATGTCAATTACATGATTCAATCAACGGTGCAACAAGGTAGAATTTAATTATATCATGATAATTAAATCTCTCAATTCTAAAACAACTCTAAATGGTCCCCAAATTAACATATGCTAGTACATAAGTTATAGTTATCACAAATATCAATCTAAACACTCAATCAGGCCAACGGAACCCTTAATTAGATTTTAATTAATCATTTTAATTAAAATCTCAAGATTTTCATACTTGTCCAAATGCTCTCAAATTAAAGTATGCTAAACAACATGCCAAAACCAAATTTAAAAGCATACTACAACTTAATTTCATGCAAGGTACGGCCATGCACTTTAATCTTTCACAAAAGATAAATATTAATTAAAATATACAATTTTTATTCAATCAATACCAATTTAATATATGTTAACAAATATATTAAGACATGATTTTCTAGCATGCCACAATTCAAATCAAAGTTATATATCATCATGAATTTTAAATCTTATACAAAGAAATAAAAATTACCAACTTTCTAAATTTGATACAAGGCATACATATAAGTTGTATAATCATGAGAAACACTCAATACAACACATATAAATCCTAAAACATTTCCTACCTCAATTTGAGATGAAAATCTCAAAAGCCATCAAAATGGAACGGCTCCGAATCCGACGAAACTACTTGGTTTTGTCAAGGACAACACCGTGAACATAACCCCCATGAAAGCCCCATCAAAATCATAACTTGACCTCAAAACCAAACTCAAGAAATGGTCAAAACTGAATTCTAATAAGGGGGAAAGGTGGAGCACGGCGACGGGAACAACAAACGTTAGGGCCGAAGACTTTCCATCAAGGAAAAGTGAACCAAAAGAGGAGAGAGAAGAAGGAAGCACCCCTTGGGCTGCCATGGGAGGTCCAGGTCATACATGAAGAGGGGAGAAGATGAAAAATTAAATATCTCACCCCCTTTTTATAGAAATCTCAAAAAGTGCCCTGAACTGGCCCTGCCGGGTCTCAAAATGTAAAATTTGAGAAGATGCACTCAAATGGCAAAACTTTGTGAATGAAAAAGATTCAAAATGATAAAATATGAACAACGGAAGAAACGGCGTCAAAAACGGAGTCCCGAGCAGAATGTTATGCCCAAAACAAGTTTGGCGCAAACTGGTGCCAGAAACCCTGACACTGGAAAATATCGACCAGGAGGAAATTTCAAGAGTACACAACTTGATGAAATGTGAAAATAAATCCCATACAGGGATCCAGGCTCAAAACAAGACATTTTGTAATAAGTTTCATTAATTGCACAATGGCCCATCCAAAAAGTGAAAACTACACTTATGGCCCAGAATGAAAATATTTTCCAAAAATATTTTCTTAAAACCCCTGAAATAAAATATCTTCAAAACATATTTATGAAAAACACCCCAGGAAAAGAAAATAATTTCAAAGAACTTTGCATCCATGCCCCTATGGACACCGGGAGCAACCAGAGTACTTTCTTGCAAAAGTAAAGATACGTATTTCGTGGAAACCACTCAAGATGGAGATACATGAAGTCAAAAACCAACTCCGAACACAAGAAGTGTGGTTATGCCAACAAAGTGTCAAACGGGGAAAAGACAAAATAGGGAAAATGACGAACAGTGAATAGTGTCAAAAAACGAAAAATGCGGAAATGACTCGGTCATCAAAGGAAGTTGTCAATCCACATAAAAGAGTCTCAGAAATCACTCCAGAGCACTCGAGACGACACTAAGCAAAGAGGAACTGAACTCAGAAAGGAAAGACAACAGAAAAAAAAATATCCGTGAAAATCCGGGTCATTACATAAATATATATATATATATATATATATATATATTTTTTCTCTTATATATATATATATATATTTTTCTCTTATCCTTACCCCCACTTCTTCATGCGAACACTCTATGCATATGAGACATGAGCCCCGATTACTGCACGAAAGGTTTATGAAATATAATATTTTTTCTGTTTTTTTATTTTTTATTTTATTTTAAATATCTCTGCCATAGTAATAACCTTCAAAGTTCACCAATTCATATCCATCCATAGTCATCAGAATTCAACCAACAATACAAATACCCATAGATAAAATTATAGTGTGCATGCGAAATCCATCAGGGACTGACAATTACTAAAATTCCTATTATACTAAATAATGGAACCCACATAAAATAAAACATGAAAAATTCAGGATTCAAGACGATCTCAGAAAAGAATTTTAAAAAGTACTTAAGTGTCTTAATCCCCCCAACAATTCGCAAATACTTGAATTAAAGTCAATATGCCAAAGAAAAGGAATTATTATTATTATTATTATTATTTATTTTTTACTAGAGTACTTTAATACAACTAGAGTAGATGCTATGCCCCCAAACTTGAATTGGACAGTGTCCTCACTGGGGAAAAATCAAAAGCAAGAAAAATAAGAACTAAAAAGAAAATAAGAACAAAGAACGAAAACACTTAATCGGATAGCTAAAATGGAGGCGGTGGAGCATCGGGATTAAGCCCGTTATGAATCATAAGCGCACGCATCATATCCATCATTGTTCTTTGATCTTAATGAATCATCCTCTACTCCTCATGAATCGTCCTCTGCTCCTGATGGATTTCTTGACCTTCAGATTGGAGTTGGGTCACCTCACCAACTAAATAGTCATAGGGATGCTCATCAGCGTCATCCTCGTCATCACTGGCGGCCTCTTCCATAGGCTTATCATGGGGTTCATCAGCGACTTAGTTGAATAGGCAAAATTTATTCACCCTGCACAATTGGGTGAGCCGGCTCTCCAGGTGCAGCAACCACCTTTAATGTCATGTGTGATCAGCTGTGATTCCAATCAACCTCACCATAACGATCATTGCGCGCAGAAGAGAACTCATCGGTGGCAATAGTGTAACCCTAAGAAGTGAACAGTCGAATAACAAAGAATGGCAAATGAAACTTCCAATCTTTTTCTTTTTCCAGAGTTTGCTTGATCACCAAATCATAAAAAATTTTAAGCTGCCCATAGATGATTTCCGGAAAAGATATCCAATGGCCAAAATGGATGGCATATAAAGCACACAAAATCTTGATGACGCTCAGATTGATGAGTAAGAGGGCACACATTATGCAAAAGTATGGCATCGACAAACCATAGGTGTAATGGCAGAGACGATTTGGCAGTAGAATTATATTTGGAGTCGGAGCAACAATTTGCAGCAAGGCGATTAATCATCAGTCTAGTGGAAATCTCTGACATTGGAGTGAAAATTGACTCCAAATTAGCTGGGCATTGATGTGGACATCCTAAAGCCCTGGCAATCGTCGAAGGAGTAATGCGAATTATAGTACCATCAATGGATGACACTAGTGCTCCTTATTTATTTGGATTAGAATGAAGATTTTGGTAAAACACCATGACTAGTCTGGGGTATATGAGTTTACCCGCTTGCTCAAAAGGCATGCAGCTTGCTGGCATTGTAAATCTGCAATGGGCCACTAAGTTTCTGGAATGCATGCATTAAGAGATTCGATGTCAAAACCCACTTCATAATTAAGTTGGTGACCATGCCACCTTTCATCTATGGTATCTCGAAGAGTTGGCCGCCTCATGGAACATTGAATGGAGTGGCTTGTTGAAGCACCGCCTTGTGCAGCTTTCTTCTTTCTGGAAGCCATGTAAAAGGAAAAATAATTCTTTGAGGCCTTTTGTCAAACACTTGGCGGGCACCCCTAATTTCTTGCCTTAAATCTTTAATTTCTTCTCCAAATTGGTGTAATTGGATTTGGGATTAGGAATGGTGAAGGATAATAACAAGGGATAGATATATATATATATATATATATATAGATGGGGAGGTAGAAGGAAGAAATGATTTTTTTTTTTTTTTGAATGGTAAAGGTGGTCTAATGTGTATAGGAAAGTATTTGTAGACGTGGAAGATGGATATTTGTCAAATTAGAGTAATGGAATGATGGACTTTTTTTTTTTAGTTGTGGTGAGGAAGATGTAAAGTGTATTGGGTTGAGGAATTCTTTATGTGGGTTAGAGAAGGAAAGTAATGGGTAATGTTTGTATAATGGTAGTAAAGGTGTTGAGGAATAGAAAAGAGATATAGGGGAGAGAAGAACAATCTGTCGGCAAAATAGTAAAGCCTATATGCTTTTAATCCAACTCGGGCGACGGTCGCCCATGGGCCGAGCGAATGATCGCCAAGCGTTGCTTTGTCGCGTCGCAAATTACCCCCCAGGCGATGGTCGCTGTCTTACCGGGCGATCATTCGCCCGAGGCTGCTGCTGTTGTCTTCACCGGGTGACGGTTGCCCAAGTGCCTGGCGATCACTCGCCCGGACCTGCTACTTGCTCTGAAATGAGTCTCACCTGGGCGATGGTCGCCCATGGGTTGGGCGATGGTTCGCCCGGGCCTGCTGCTGGTCCAATTTTTTTATTTTTAGAAAGCAAACTTCTAACGGTCATATCTTTGTCATTGGAGGTCCGTTTTGGACGATTTTTTTTTCATTTTGGGTATTTTTTCGAGATCTACGTAGTGCAAACAGCCGTAGGCGATTTGGTGGATGTTTAGACCCAAAAAATGCTCCATTCTGCTCTAATCGTCCCTTTTTTCTTTATATGCCACGGAAAATTTATTTTTTATTTTTTTATTTATTTATTTTTATTTTCTTCGAAACAAGTACAACTTGTAAACCTGCACAAGTAACTAAAAATCCTACAAAACAAATTAAATCCTCCTAATTTACTAAAACAAAAGATAAAATTAAAGAGAGAAAAAAAAAACAAATAAATAAATAAAATCTTATTTACAATTCTTACATTTAACGTCAATAGGCGACGTGATACCTGGATGATTAGGTGGAGTAAATGGGATCCGTCAAAGTGACGAATTCAACTCCTTCTGTAGGCACAGAATCTTCAATGTACAACTTCAATCTCTGACCATTTACTTGAAGTGTCTTTGTAACGACCCTCACCCTGGCCAGACACAATATTGTCCGCTTTTGGCTCACCCAGACCAGAGACTTCCCAGGGGGTCACCCATCCTCGTACTACTCCAAGTTAAGCACGCTTAACTACAGAGTTCTAATGGGTTCACAGCCATCACGGCTTTAAAACGCGTTGTGTCATAGAAGGGTGTTGAATCTACATATAGCACTTGCCTCATCTACACCCAGACGATGTGGGATTGTGCACCTGCAGCTCGCCCAGTGTGGTAGCCTACTGGTGCCCCCTGTACACGCTCACACACACCCACCCACAAGGTCGCCACAATCACCCCCCCTTTGGGGCCCAATGTCCTCGTTGGCCACATTTCTAGTTGGGTCAGGCTCTGATACCATTTATAACGACCCTCACCCTGGCCAGACACAATATTGTCCGCTTTTGGCTCACCCAGACCAAAGACTTCCCAGGGGGTCACCCATCCTGGTACTACTCCAAGTTAAGCACGCTTAACTACAGAGTTCTGATGGGTTCACGGCCATCACGGCTTTAAAACGCGTTGTGTCATAGAAGGGTGTTGAATCTACATATAGCACTTGCCCTATCCACACCCAGACGATGTGGGATTGTGCACCTGCAGCTCGCCCAGTGTGGTAGCCTACTGGTGCCCCCTGCACACGCTCACACACACCCGCCCACAAGGTCGCCACAGTCTTACCTTTCTTTGGGTCAAAAATGGTGATAGCCCTGTGAGGGGTTACCATTTGAACTTGATATGGACCATCCCATCTTGAGTGCAATTTCCCTGGAAATAGCTTCAGCTTGGAGTTGAATAACCAGACCTTGTTACCTGGCTCGAAATTTTTCCTCACAATGTGCTTATCATGAAACGCTTTGGTTCTAGCTTTATAAATTCTTGCACTTTCGTAAGTATCATTACGAAGTTCTTCTAATTTATTTAGCTGCAACTTCCTCTTAGACCCAGCTTGACTCATATCGAAGTTTAATTTTTTCACAGCCCAAAAAGCTTTATGCTCCAATTCCACAGGTAAATGACATGCTTTCCCGAAGACCAAGCGATATGGCGACATCCCAATTGGTGTCTTGATTGCAGTGCGATACACCTATAAGGCATCATTGAGGTGCAATGACCAATCCTTTCGATCCAGTTGAACTGTCTTCTTAAGGATATGTTTGACCTCGCGATTTAAAATCTCTACTTGACCGCTTGTCTGAGGATGGTAAGAAGTGCCTACCTTATGAGAGATGGAATATTTCTGAAATAAGACTCGAAGAAAGCGATTACAAAAATGCTTTCCACCATCGCTGATTATTGCCCTTGGCATTCCGATCTGACTGAAAATATTGCTTTGAAGAAATTCGACCACCACCTTATGGTCATTAGTCGTTGTTGCCACTACTTCTACCTACTTGGAGACGTAATCCACCCTTACCAAATTATACTTCTTGCCATGTGACATCGAGAATGGCCCCATGAAATCAATGCCCCAGACATAAAAAATTTCAATAACCAGAATTGAGGAGAGAGGCATCATGTCTCTTTTTATAATGGTACCCAACCGTTGACATCGATCACAGGCCTTAGCAAACTTGTGAGCATCTTTGAACAAGGAAGGCCAAGTTAGACCACTCTGAAGAATCTTTGCTCCTGTCTTCTTTCCACTGAAATGGCCACCACAAGCTAGTGTATGACAAAACTTTAGAACGCTTGAAATTTCATTATCTGGTACACAGCGACGAATAATTTGGTCCGAGCGGTATTTGTATAATTGTGGATCTTCCTAATGATAAAATTTCACTTAAGAGAAGAACTTGTCTTTATCATGTCTGGTCTAATTAGACTGAATTCTTCTGGACGTCTTCCAGTTCATAATATCAGTATACCATGGTGAATTCTCCTTCTAAAGTTGAAATAACTGCTTATCTGGGAATGAATCATGCAATGAAAGAGTGTAAGATGAATTTACCAAAATTCTGGATAAGTGGTCTGCCACCACATTTTCTGAACCCTTCTTGTCTTTGATTTCTAGGTCGAATTCTTGTATCAATAGAATCCACCTAATCAACCTTGGGTTGGTGTCCTTTTTGTTGAGCAAATGTCGAAGAGCTGCATGATCAGAAAACACAATAACTTTGGAACCCAACAAATAAGAGCAAAACTTGTCCAGAGCAAAGACCACTGCTAATAATTCTTTTTCAGTAATAGTATAGTTTAATTGTGCCTCTATTAAGATCTTACTTGCATAGTAAATTACTCTTGGCAATTTCTCCATTCTCTGACCCAAGACTGCCCCAACTGCATAATCTGATGCGTCGCACATAATCTCATAAGGAAGAGACCAATCTGGAGCCTACATAATGGGTGCAGAAAACAGTAAAGAGCGAAGTTGCTCAAATGCCTTTAGACACTTTTCATCAAAATGAAAAAGGAACATCTTTGCCCAATAAATTGCATAAGGGCCTTGAGAGTTTACTGAAGTCTTTAATAAAACATCTGTAAAATCCTACATGGCCGAGGAATGATCACACATGTCTCACCGATGATGGGGGAGGAAGATTAGAGACAAGATCGACCTTAGCTTTGTCTACTTCAATTCATCTCTTGGATATTACATGGCCAAAGACAATTCCTTCTTGCACCATGAAGTGACTTTTCTCCCAACTCAAGATTAGAATCTTCTCTTTACGTCGTTGAAGAACAAGCACTAAATTCTCTAGGCAATTATCGAATGAAGACCCAAACACTGAAAAGTCATCCATGAAGACTTCTAGAAAGTTTTCAATCATATTAGAAAAAATTGCCATCATGCATCTTTGAAAAATGGCTGGTGTATTATAGAGTCCGAAAGGCATACGGCGATAGGCAAAAATACCATATGAACAGATGAAAGTTATTTTCTCCTGATCGTTAAGATGAATGGCAACTTGATTGTATCCATAATACCCATCCAAGAAGTAATAAAATTTCTTCCCTGCCAGTTTCTTTAATATTTGATTAATAAAGGGGAGAGGAAAGTGATCATTCCGTTCTTAGAATTCAATTTGCGGTAATCTATACACACTTGTCAACCTGTAGTCATGTGTTAGGGAAGTAAAGTACCGTCAGAATTTTTCACCACGGTGATCCCAGATTTTTTTGGATCCACTTGAATCGGGCTTACCCACTGACTGTCTAAAATTGGGTAAATAATGCCTACATCAAGGAGCTTGACTACTTCCTTTTTCACCAACTCTTTCATATTGGGATTTAACCGCCTCTGTGCTTCTCGCGAAGGTTTGGAGTCCTCTTCTAAGAAAATCCGATGCATACATACCAAGGGATCAATCCCTTAGAGATCAGCCACACTCCAGCCAATAGTTTCTCGATGGTTGGCTAGTACTTCTAATAATATCTTCTCTTGTATGTCTGATAGCTCTGCCAAAATAATTACTGGAAGAGTACTTTTTGGCCAAGAAATGCATACTTTAGATGAGAGGGCAACTGCTTTAGCTCTAGCTCTGGTGGACACTCCAAAGATGGTACAGGTGGTTTACTCGCCACATCAAGCAGGGCATTCACCTCTTTAATACTTTTCTCAACATCAAATGACTTGGCATTAAAGTAAGATAGACATGCTTCTGGATCTTTTGTTAAGGCAAATGGGGTCATCTCTTTAACACATTCATCAATGGTATCGACTAGAAAACAATCATTATTATCTGAAGGGCATTGACTGGCATTAAAAATATTTAAGCTCACATTCATATTGCCAAAAGATACGTTTATGATGCTAGTTCTATAATTTATGCTCACATTTGCTGTCGCAAGAAAAGGACGACTAAGGATCGCTGGAATGTGCCTCCTTGGCTCCAAAACTGGCTCGGTATCTAGCACAATAAAGTCAACTGGGAAGTAGAATTTATCTACTTTGATGATCACATCTTCGATAACACCACGAGGCTGTTTGGTTGACCTATCTGCCAATTGGAGAATAATTGAGGTAGACTTTAATTCTCCTAACCCAAGTGGTAAGTAAACCGAATAAAGAAGAAGGTTTACACTTGTACCCAAATCTAAGCGAGCTCGCTCTACTTGATGATTCCCTATTGTGCATGAAATTGTTGGAGCGCCTGGATATTTGAATTTTGGAATAGTGTAGTGCTGGATTATGGAACTGACTTGCTCAGTTAATAACACCTTCTTAGGAACATGGCTATTTGAACGCCTCTTCTGAGTACACATATCTTTCAGAAATTTAGCTTAAGCTAGGATTTGTTGAATTGCATCAAGCAATGGGAGATTAATCTTCACCTATTTCAACATCTCCATTATGTCCTGAAGTTTGCTTACTTGCTTTGCTGCCTTTAATGTTTCTTGTAGTCTTTGAGGGAATGGCACAACAACATGCCTTTGTTCTAGAGATGGCTCAGTAGTTAGAGGTACTTCTTGTGCTTTTTCATTACGCTTATTTTTCTCTTTAAGTCTTTTCTTCCAATTTTCATCCTTCTTTGCTTCCTTTTCTTCCACCTTGTTTTCAACTCTTTTACCACTTCTTAGAGTAATAATTGCTTGCACTTATTCATGGTGGACTCCTTGGCCAGTAATGTCATCAATTATACGCACAACTCTTGGATTAGCTACTGGTTGACTAGGAAGCTTGCCATTTTCTCTTCTATTCAAGGCTTGAGCTAGTTGGCCAACTTGAGTCTCTAACTTGACAAGGGATTGTGAATGAGACTGCACAAGTTGATTAGTTGGCTCTAACTGCTTTGCCATCATTGCCTCGAGCATTGATAAGAATTGTTGAGGTTGACTGAAGGCATTCATAGGAGTGAACCCTTGAGGATTTGGAGTCTAAACTGGAGATTGAAAATTGCCTTGCACCTGAGGTACTTGAGGTGGAGGAGCTAATGTCCCTGTGGCTAGATTTCTCCATGAAAAGTTAGGATGGTTTCTCCAAGGCGGATTATAAGTGTTTAAATACATATTATTCCCTCCGGGCCTTCCATGTGTAGCATTAACTTGCTCTTGTGGAATTTCTGAATATTGAGATGCACTTGGACAAATGGACACATGGTGAGTTGGATTGGAACAGAAAGAGCACACTTCAAAGCCTTGAGTATTAGTCGAAGGAGGAGTAAAATTTGACTGTGAAGTCATCAATTGATCCAACCTCTTGGTTAATGCCTCAATTTGGCTCACTAACCCTTGATTTATTCTTGCTTCATTCACATTTTCTGTTATCCTCAATATGGTATGAGGTCTTACTACTGGAGGTAAGACATGTTGTATAGAATTATCAGATATATTTTCGAAAAGCTGCCATGCTTCCTCTACACTCTTCAACATAAAATTTCCACCACAAAAGGCATCCACCATATACCTTTGTGCCTCATTAAGCTCCTTATGGAAGAAGTTAACAAGCTGCCATTTTGGCATGTCATGATAAGGACACTTCCGAATGAGGCCTCTGAATCTTTCCCAAGCCTCATGGAAAGGCTCGTCAGGCCCTTGAGCAAAACGAGTAATAGTATCTCGATATTGAGTAGTTCTCACCATGGGGAAGTACTTGTTCAAAAACTTCTGTTGCAATTCAGCCCATGTAGTGATAGTGTCGGCTGGTAATGAATTAAACCAGTCCTTTGCCTTGTCCTTTAATGAAAAAGAGAAAAAGTGTAGCTTGAGCACATCATCGTTAAAGCTTTGGATCTTTATTGTTCTGCACACCTCTGCAAAGTCATCCAAGTGCCAGTATGGATCCTGTTTTGATATACCATAAAAAGAAGGCAGTAACTGAAGAGTACTGGCCTTAATTTTGTAGTGAGGGGCCCTCACTTGAGGATACCGAACTGCAGATGAAGAGTTGTATACACTTGGTTCATAGTGATCCTTTAAACAGCGAACTGCTTCTACAACTGGTGGATCATCCGCCATATTTTCTTTCTTTAAGTTTCTGAGAGTCCTTCCAATTTTTGGGTCTAACAGAACCTGAGGGAGTGACAAAGAACGTCTTCCAAGCATATAATGTCACCTGCAATAATTGAAAGAAAATAGTATTAAAATAAAATACAATAAAATAAAATCCTAAACTAAAATTTTAATTGAAATTAATTGTAGAATTTAATATTATCTGTCAAGAACTAAAACAAGTCCCCAGCAACGGCGCCAAAAACTTGTTGTGAGATTTATATGTATCACTCGCAAGTGCACAAATCTTTGCAGATAAGGTTTACTTGTAAGGGTGTCGTACCCAAGGGACTTGTGTAAAATAAGTTTGTCAATAGATTTCTTAAATTCCAAATTAACTTGAAAGTAGGATAATCAAACTATGATGATTTATTTTAAATTAACTTAATAGAAAATAAAATAAACTAAAGAACAATGATTAAATAGGATGTAAAAAATAGTGAGAGAGGACTAGGGGTATGACTTCACCACTAACGTCGCACCACTAGTCAATTACATCAATTTATTGGAGATATATGATATAACATGCAAAGGGAATTAATCATGGCTATAAGCACATATTAATTCAGCTAGAAAATAATATAATTTAAAGTTAAGCATGGACTATCTTCGATTAGTATAAACCATCTACCTATTTACTTTACTCTAGGGTGTAGCATGGTCTATCTTTTCTAGGCATAATCCATCAGATCTCTAACACTATATTAAGAGAAATACCATTGTGTAATCATCTCATTCACAACTACAAGAAGTCAATGAGTTGTGTTCAATCACAAAATTAAAATATCTAAGACATGATAGAAAAATATTTGTATTTGAATTAATACTCTAAAATCGATTCTTATTGAAAATTCAATTAAAAACCCTATAGATTACACAATCATGCATGATAAAAATTGTTCTCCAATAATTAAATACAATCAAACCAGTGTGCTAACTTAGGGCTACATCACAACCCTAGCAAAGGGTTTAGCCAAGCATGATTGGAGTGGAATTCTTCATGGTTGAGGAAGACATCTTCATCTCCATGGATTGATCCCTTCCTTCTTCTGAATGCTCCTCTCTGATCTTAGCCTCAAGCTCCTCTGTATCCTCTGTATCCTTCTTCAATATTGTAGAGGACCCCTTTTAAATAATAAAAGATCAGCCCTAAAGTTCCCTTTTTCATATAGGAGACATATATAAAAATTCTATCAAATAAGGACTCCAAAATTCGTACAGACTTCTAGGCCAATTTTAACAAGGTAAACAACTGTTTTAGGGAATTCTCGTGAAATATAAAATTGTAGCTCTTTGAATTTCCTTTCAACTTATGCAAGAATTTAGTCGTTTTGACACTCAAGGAGAGAGATACAGCCAGATTACCAAAATGGGTTCAAGTTACCAACTTTGGCGAAAGTTTCCTTTTTGGAGAAGGATTTTTCCTTTTCATCTTCTTTCCATTCTTATCAACTTGTGGCTTCTTTTGGATTATTTTCTAAGTATAATTAAACTTGGATCTTCAACATTGCTCGGTCCCATGGAATGTCATCTGTTAAAGCTCATAATCACTGGTCTGGACTGATTTTACAATTAAAGCCTTGAAATAAATAAAAACAATAAAACAATGTAAAGTCACAAATAAACTATTATTAAGAGAATAAAACATGCAAATAAATGGGCTAAAATGTGTAACATTCAGCACCTAACAAGTTTGTCCATAAATTTTCCTTTTATTGCCTACAAAATCTTTTTCTTATTAATGATTGATCATATGATTTTCTAATAAATGAATTTTTATTATATTTTTTGGGTAATTTTAAATGAATGTCTTTGCAGGCCAACATTTTTGAGAATCATCAAAAACAAAGCAGTGGAGGAGCTCAGTTTCGTTCCTTATGTTGCAACTGTGATGAATTGCCTGTTTTGGATCTTTTATGGATCACCAGTTGTTCATCCAGACAGCACTCTTGTGGTCACTATCAACAGCATTGGGCTTGCATTGGAGCTCTGCTGTCTCGGCATATTCATATATTTCAGTGAAGCCAAAAGGGTACTCTGTTTTTAAATCATCAGTATCAATAGATAGTTAATTGAACCTCGTAATAGCTGCAATGGATTAAGTTTTAGCACAATCTGGTTAATTAATTTAAGTAGTCTTACAGTTATGTTGCTAGTTGTTACAGTATATTGATTAGTTTTTACATTCTATGGAATGTCTGTGTATTTCAGTGGAAGGTAGTTGGGTGTGTGTGTTTTGAGTTGGTGTTCATAGGAGCCATTGCTGTTGTTATGCTTACTCAATTTCACGCCTATACTAAGAGATCCATGTTTGTGGGAATCTTCTGTGTTGTCTTTGGAGTGATGATTTACGCTTCCCCT